TTTACAATGCACCCATAGTGTTTTCAAGTGTTTCTCTGTACTTACACCAGTTCTAATTAGAAATTTGGATTAATTGTTGTCAAGTGGATTTTCCTGACCCAGTGGATTACTGATTCAAGCAAGTTGGTGAGTGGTTTTTGTTCATTTTCTATTTCATTGAGCATGTTTGCATGACATATGCACTCCACAAGTTGGGTAGTCGCCAAGACGACCCCTGTGATTAGGAGGGTACGTAGTTGGAACACCCACAGGTAGTTGCACGACTACATCTAGGTAGTCGTGCGACTACCCGAGATGTATTCATGCGACTACCCTAGTCGTAGTCGTGTGACTACGTAGTTGTAGTCGTGCGACTACATAGGTGTAGTCGTGCGACTACCTGCGGGTGTTCCATTTATGTACCCTCCTAGTCACCGGGGTAGTCGTCTTTTTTACCAGGGTAAAGTTCAACTCGATTACTTCATTAATAAAGAAACTAACGGAAAGGTGCGGGGCTTTTGAATCACCTCTCTATTGTATTACGATAAATATAAAACGGTATATTAACGGTATACCGTATAATATACCGTATATTTATGGTATATATAAAAGTAGAAGGATTCCATTCCGTCTTTTATTATTCCACGATTTACTCGAGTAGTCGAGTCGAGGCAGGATGGTAGGGGAAGCGCCCCAGTTACGAGCAGAGCGCGTCTTTCCCCCGCCGTGACCTCTCCCCACCATCTTACCGGTCAACCGTTCCTCCACTCCCATCCTCTGATCAAGTCAGACCAATCAGATGAAGCCACGATTGCTCCGCTGCATAGCTATGAAATCTCGCGCAAGCTTTTGAGCTGCTCATTGGACGTTGCTGAAGTCACGCCTCTTTTCTCCGCCATGAACTCTCCCCCACCATCCGACCGGTCAACCTTTCCCCTATATTCTCATCCTCTGATCAAGTCAGACCAATCAAACGAAGCCACGCTTTGTTCCTCTCAATGCTCACCCTCTGCGTGATTGCGGCAATAATGAAATCTCGCACAAGCGGCTCAAGCTGCTCATTGGACGTTGCTAAAGTCACGCCTCTTTTCCCCGCCTTCAACTCTCCCCTACCATTTACTGGTCAACTGCTCTCCTTCTCTCATCCTCTGATCAAAGCAGACCAATCAGACGAATCAAGGAAGTTAGAGGAAAAACTTTGTCTTCCTCATTTTGAAATGAGATATTTTTTGGCGTAATCGCGTAACTTCAGAGTTTTACTGCGAAAAGAATTCCCCACCAGGTTAGGCCAACATCAGGTTCTTGCAGACAATCTGCGATAAGGTTTGAAGCTGGAAGAAACGTAGACTCATGATAAATTGAAGTCATTGTGTCCTACTATCCCTCCTCCAATTCTGAGAAAATGTCTCTTCTCAACAGATTTTTGCCTCCTTACTTCAAGAATTTCCTCTCGCTCGCACCCAAAGCTTTGAACGAATCGCTTCAGACTTAACGAAAGCCTCGACAAATAAGGTAAGTTTGTGGATTCGATGCAAGACAAGACCTAATCAAAGGCGAAGCGTGGAATGATCGATTATCGATATTTCCCCATTTGAAACTATAGTGAAAGAATCGATTAGGTGTTCATTGCGAATAACCCGTTTATCGATCCTGATCCATAGGTTTAAATGGTATGATCATTCAATATATCGCAAGCATTCCACGCCACTGACCCTATTCTAAAGCGAATTCAAAATTCAGTCATCCCAAAGAAGCTCCAAAAAATCAGGAAACGAGATTTGACATGCCCATTTCAACTGAGCGAGACGGAAAATGGGAGCACTAATCGGAGCCAAAATTTTGCACTCTTAGAACTTAGCAGTGATTACTATTTTCGCGTCCTGTTCACGAAATTGCATAGGTAACAGCAATCCTAACGCCGCGCCGGTGCGGAGACCGCGGCACTGAATGAATATACCCACCATAAATAAAAGGAAGAAAAACGTCTTGAATCAATACCCCCTAGAATTCTTCAAGAACCAGTCAGGAGCAGGGTGATCGGACTGGCTCGCGTCTGAGGGCGTAGACCCTTGGCTAGTTAAAGGGGCGTATTGTGATATTTCCTGGTAGGGTATTCCCCACATGGAGAGGGGTTCAGAAAATGTTGGCAAATCAGCACAAGTTTACGCTATTTTCAGGTTCAAACTTTATTGATCGCACGGAGTAAAAATTGCAAAATTGGACGTGAAGCACAGCATTGAGAGCTCACGCTTCGCGTCATCGCGCCTTCAATTTTTCAGATGCAGCACTGACGTCCATCAAGTACGAATAGTTGTATCTCTGCGCCGTCGTAAACAAGCATCCTTCCCCTCCCTCTTCTTCTACTTCTTGATTGTGTTTCGACGGTGAAAGTCGGCAATCACATAAGTCGGTTTGCGACGTCGCAGACTTCCTGTCATACTTTATTTTTTGAACGGAAAACTACTCAACGGTAATTCTTTAAAACTGCCGTGATTTTTCTTCTATGTGCGAGGAAAATTCTGCAAAAACTTCAAGGAATCATGTCCATTTGTTCTCCTCTAAAAATATAACATAGTTGCGGAGATTTTCAGACACCGCAAACGAGTTATGTGATTGCCGACTTGCACCGTCGGTTTGTTTCCGTTTGTCTTATTCGTAATGGTGCTTCAAGCACTACGTGAGTAATACAGCCGAAGGTAGGAGAGATTTCTTCAGGCCTTTTTTTAACTTTTCTCCCGAATCAGAGCGACGCTTCATTGACAGCATAAAGCAGATCATTAAGAGCTCACGGTTCGCGTCATCGCGCCTTCAATTTTTGAGATGCTGTACGGACGTCCATCAAGCACGAATAGTTGTATCTCTGCGCCGTCGTTAACACGCATCCTTTCCCTAGCTTTATTTCCATATTGTGTTTGTTTGCGTTTGTCTTATTTGTAATGTTGCTTCAAACTAGAGCAGATCATTGCGAGTTCACGACTCACGGCATCGCGTCTTACATTTTTTCATAAGCAATGTGGACATCCATCTTGCGCGAATAGTTGTTACGCGTTTACATTTTAGATGTCTCTTATTATTTTTGAGTTTCGAGATAAATTAAAGTTAAGTTTGCCCGAGCTATGCTATGGTATGTCCAAATCAATAGTAATTTTGAAAAGGAAGAAATATGTTTAAAGGTCTCTCGTGAGGTCTATAAAGTGTGCGCATATGTCTAAAAATCGAACCGACCATCGCTTCTGAGGGAGTTACACATAGCGAATGAAGGAGGGGGATGATAAAGCGCCTGTATGTCAAGAAGAAGGTGACAATTTCACAGAAAATTGTTTTACGCTTCAGGAAGTAGTTCTTGGACCTCTGTTCACCACCATCATGCGTTAAAGCACCTTTCTTTACTCCTAACTCTCTCTTCTTCTGTTCATTTAAGAAGTTTTTCTCACATATTCTCGGTCGTAATTTTTCTTCTCCTTATTTTGCTATCTGTAAGAGGGGCGCGTTTTCGGCGCGTAAAGAGGGCGTATCTGCCAATGGCAGATTGGCCTCATGGCCAGTCCGAGCCTGGTCAGGAGCAACCATAATTTCTGTTATGCTCACCACAATTTCTGCTGTTATGCTAATCAGAATCTCTGTTATGCTAACCGGAAATTTTAACATGCTAACCAGAATTTTTGGTATGCCGACCAGGATTTCTGATATGATAACCAGATATTCTCGTCGTCTCACAATCAGCCAGAAACGGTCAGTAGGAGCTGCCAAAAATTCTAGTTCCGAAGACTACCGAAATAACTGATTTGGGCGAATCGGAAAACTCGTCATGAAACCCAAAAATTTTTTTCGGAGTGCTTTATGAGAGATTAATATTAATCAACCTCCAAGTTGCCACGTGCCTCCTTTGAGAGCTCATTTGTGAGTAAGTATAAATACGCATGTGAGATGCGCAATCACGCCTTTTCCTTCATGGAAGTGTAGGTCTATTCCCAATAGCCTCACTAAAATTTGTCTACAGCCTTGTCATCACGAGCGCGGTTCGAGGAACTTCGGGTGAACTTGAGCGAACTTGTTCCAGGAACTCGTATAACAACTTACCTGAAACTTTCAGTTCGTGGAACTATTTCGTCCAAACTGCGCTCGTGAGAAAGCTGACGCTTGATTTTTTCGTTGTTACGACTAAGCCTGTGTAGTTACGAAGATTTATTCCCTCAATGGTGAAGGTGCGACCTGTTACTTGAAAATTCAGATCATTTTGAAAGTATACATTTTGGGACCAGCAAAAGGGGAAAACTAAGATTAAAAATGTTTTTAACATCGCGTGTCGCATAGGTACGCATAAAAAAATCCTATTTCGTCATCTCTGTCGTGCACACATAATGAGACAAAAAGTTTTGCTTTTTTTACTCGGTTACTAAGTATCAAAATTTCGTGTATTCCTTTTTTTTAATGTCACGTGTGCATGTAGGCACGGGAGAAAGGTTGTTGAATTTTTCATGCGACATGGGAGCGCCGCAATCTAGGTTTAAATAAGAATTAGCGTGACTTCAGTAAGCTCGGGGAACTTTGATTCAAGTCCGTATGCATGACGTAATTTTAAAACGGCTGTAAAATCTGTATCAGCGATGTATACGTTAAGAGTTCCCTTACTCATCTCACACTCGTCAAATACCAATGAGAGTATGTAACAATTCGACAATTTTTTTCTCCGCAGTTTTGCTGTACTTCAAAATTTTTGATTCAGCAACCGAGGGTTATCTTCCCAAAGTGGTTTTTGAACTTTTCATTTTTCAAATCATGTTACTAAGAATTTTTTTTTTCTTTGTGATTCTTGACCTCCTTCTACGGATACCGGTAAGATGGAAAAATATCTGAAAATAATCTTTCGTTTTTTATATGTACTTATAACAAAAATGTGCATGCGAGAATGAAATATTTGTGATGAAGTAAATATACATATCTACCTAAATTTGCGCAAGAGTAGCACACGTATAAGTAACTCCTTATAATTGTCATGGAAAAACAAACATATTCTCTTGAGTCATTTGAGTTGTTGCATTTATTATGCATATACAACTATACCATTATAGGTACAACGGATACATAGGGAGCTCAAAGTTGAAGTCATAAAAAATTGATGTATATCTTGTCCTGTATTCGTACTGATCTTGTTATTTTTATCGGATGGTTTTGTCTAGGAAGGACGTCCTTAGAAAGGTATAAAAATGCAAAACCTCGCGACTCGTCGTCGGTTTGGGAGCATGAGCGATATCTTGGGTCTCGGAACATACTAATTACTAGGTCCACACATTACGCGTCAACTTTGAGAAATCATAATTCCGCTCCAAAAGTGTTTCATTTGTTTCCCCAAGATGAACTTGTAGGTACTTGTTTACAGCTTAGACAGTCTACTTACATAAGAAAATAGTTTTGTTCAATTTTGTGTAATCCCCTTAACGCCACGGCTAAAAATGTAAAAAATTGAAAATTTGAGGCACGGCAACGTGGCAACAATGGATGAAAATTTCAAAATTGACAAATTTCGTAAAAGTCAGCTGGAAGTTGATAGGCCAACAAGAATAGCTCTCTACGACTCTAAATGTAATGTATTCTCTCCTTGTCCTATCTGTTAATTTTGTGCACTACCCTTTTGTGACCCCTACTTTTTAAATTTTTTAAATTCTGTACAACACTATAATGATATCTCCTCCAAGGCGTTAATGGCTCAGATGTTAAAAGCATCAAATAAACGTATCTACCAACCAACCAAACCATTCACGAGATATGCCGGCTTAAAGTTTTGACATTGACCCTCGCTCCCCCTCCCCCCTAATTACCCACTTTCCAAAATCCCCAGTGTAGATATTTATCCTTGAGTTTTTATTCTTTGTAGTTTCAAGCAATAAATTTCCCATTTCCCCTTTCCCAATCTCGGGAGGAATCTAAAATCTTTCGCCCGCGATGCTAAGCTTGATTACCATTGTGTTGAATAAACGTATGCTCCCTGTATATAACCTTAACCGCACAACGTCATGTTTACGTAGCGTCTAAAAACTTCATAAACCTCGGCAAATAATTCGCTCTTCGTCGCAGGAGGAAATGGAACGATTGGGTCTAACTAAGAGTTTATAGGGCGGGGGGGGGGGGGGGGAGTATTCTCTTAATCCTAATATATGTATAAATGCATAGGGGCTGCAACTTTAACCATACCTGTATCCCCTCGGCAGTTTGTCGTGACGGGATGGCATACATACCTGAGCCATTTGGTCCCTCGGAAAGGCCCCAATTTATACAATGTGTTGCCGTTCTTCACCTTTTATTCCGATCCCGTTTTTTTAATGGAGATGTTGCACGTGTGAGGGATTTGCGATTTGATTGTTGATTCGTATGTAAAAGTTCGCGAGAGACACGATGGTCCCACTGGTTTTATCTGAAATCAACTCCCAAGCTCAAAAAAAGCTCTCAAGTTGAGGCCATAATGGAGGGGATATACCACCCTACCCTGAGAGTCCACCTCTACATCAAGACAAACTCTCCATGAAAAGATAGGGAGCAAATACATTGACAGGGCTGCCACTTTATTTGGGGACTCCAAAACTGAGAACACGGCAACCCTGCTAATGTATTTGCTCCCTATCTTTGCATGGAGAGTTTGTCTTGCTGTAGAGGTGGACTCTCAGGGTAGGGTGGGATATCCCCTCCATTTTGGACTCAACTTGAGAGCTTTTTCTGAGCTTGGGAGTTGATTTCAGAGAAAACCAGTGGCACCATTGTGTTACTCGCGAACTTTTACATAAGAATCAACAATCAAATCGCCTCACACATGCAACATCTCCATTCCCTATTTCCGATCGTCACTTTGCAACCCTAAGTACTGCCTAGCTATCAAGAGTTTTTTTGAAATTGAGTTCATCGTTTTGTAAATGCTGTTTTCTCTAACTGTGCCACCCACATGTATTTTGATTTTTTATCTCACTCTTGTGATTCCAATATTAGTTCTCTTTTTGTTATATTATTTACCTATATGTGAAGGCGGATGGAGAGGAACCGACTAGACATTTGATACCTGATCGTACATTAGACAACCCATGCAATTCTTTCTCGCCGGAGCCAGGAAAAGGAAAAAGTCGGAAAGCGGAAGCTGTTGAAAAGGAACGTTTAAGAGTGGAAGCATATCCTTACTGCCAAGGCGTTCTATATCGTTTTTTACGCCACCCCAAATATGCCGAGGGTCCACGCTATTCAAATGCCAAATGCACTCGTGGTAAAAACGGGTATAGATGCACTGCAGAGCTGGGAGACGCTTCAATGGGGAGTCTTTATCGGAGCCTATGCTCACAACCAACAGTGGATCTTGCGTCAATCGTAACAGGTAAGAATGGATGCGACGCAAAGTGGATCGAGTCAATAGGAGAGATCAGACGAAATTCGGAAACTATCGGAGCTTATAACTCCGTTTATATACCAACTTTTGAGGTCCTAAAAGTGGCTCCATTGGTTTTTCCGTTAAATTTTCTCTCAGGAACACCCCATATTATTTAAAATGTGACGAAATAAACATCAACACTTGCAATTTTAGTCAAAAATTTCAAGTCCGACCTCTCTGATTGACTCGATCCACTGTTTGACGTAAAGTTCACTTTTAAAATAATAATTGCCCCATCATGAACTCTTGCTCATATGGCAAAAGGGCGAACTTCGTCGTCAAAAGAAATAAATCAGGACAAGTATGCTGTTACTTTGAAATCACCAAAAATTAAACAACACTCTCGCCTCACGAAGCTGCACCGAATGGGCCTTGAAAATTTCGAGAGATTTTGCAAAAATCTCGCTGGTGAGAGAAGAGACGGAAGAATGTAGTGTGGGGGGCCGCTCGCCGCTACAACAGCCCCGACGGCTAGATTTGCTGTACAGCACTATGATACACGTCAACATTGAATTATTTTTTATGTCATGCTTAATATATTTACCGAATATTTATCTTTTAAAGAATCATTTCTTCCGTATAATATTTTATATTTTTTCATTTTATTCCGAAGACCGTGTATTTTGGAGTTGGCCCTCACCAGGGATCAATTTCTTCTTAGCACCGCAGAATAAAGAAACAGCAAAACAAGCGTTAGTTAGAGCTGAGGGTACCACAATGCAAGTAAAAACAGGTAGTTATGCGGTTTACGGAGTGAAAGGAGGCAGAGATTACATGGAGGATTTGTATGCCGTGGAAGAAAATGAACCGACTACTGGAGCGTCATTCTATGCTGTTTTCGACGGTCATGTGTCAGAGGTAGGTTGAAACAAAGGCCCCTTCTGGAATCGATAGTGAAACTGCAGAAATGCGTTTCTCGGTTGCGGTGTTTCAAAATCTCCTCTCCTAATCTATTTTCTAAAATTATTTCAATTATTTCAACTACTTTCTAAAAGGCAACCGAGCCAACCTTTACGGCTTGAAATCAGAGAAAATTCTTCACATCAAGAGGAAAAATATCGAAAGTTTTCAAGAAATTGAGTTAATGGTTTTCCATGTAGAGAATGAAGTATGACAGGAAGTCTGCAACGCCGGAAACCGATACAACTATTTTGGCTACCAAAAGGGTTTATATTTGTCATCCAATTAATCTAAAAGCGAGTGAGCCAAAGTTATCACTTTTGAGGAATCATAACATATTTTAATGGACAGCGAATTCCACTGACTTTGATATCTGAAGTTTTTGATCGTCTTTGAAGGAAAACTGTAAAACTATATGTATTTTGTCCGTAAAATTAATTTGCTTCACGAGTATAACCTCATCCGTTATATTTTTTGATTTAAATTATTTCCCAAGATATGAGATCAGGCAAAGCAAAAACTGATATTGGGGACTCACACTCCGTTTTGCCGAATGGTGATTTATGCAAACTATATTGGGCATTTTCTTCGCGCCTCATGAAAAAGATCATAGCTCTTGAGTTGAGCAGTTTGAGATAGACTTTTGTTAACCCAGGTCTTGTAGGCCAAGCAGATTGCTCAATATAAGCGACAAAAACCAACTTAATCGCCAAAAAAACACAATCAGAAACAATTCAATCCGTGTTAAGGTAATGACAATAATAATAGGTACAATACATAAGTCGTATTTTGTTCAGAGGCAACGATCGAAACATGTTGGGAAAACAAGCAACAATCGCATTTTGTTCGAAGTTGTTTTGTGTTGTGGGGGCGGGGCTTATTTCCGCGCGCGAAATTTGGGAACCCCCACAGCAACATTGTTGTAAAACTGCAACGTGCGAGTTGTTTTTATGTTGTTGCCCAAGACAACGCTGTTTGTTGACCTAAAATTGGAATTCGCTCTCTCATTGGTTGCTCAGAACCACGCAAAAGAAAAAGAAGAAAAAACAGAAATAATTTATAGTTAGTCAGTTAGTTAATTTATTTAAAGGCATTCAGCAACTTAGGCTATTAACGTCTTTACAAATAATTTGTTGTTTCGAACAAAATACGACTATATATCTATCTACAAAACAGGTAATGTATTTATAAAAATACAGAAACAGTAATCGACGCGGTCCAGATGTTCCTTCTCTTTCAGATACCTTTTTTATTATACTTTTCTCTATGTGCCGGTCAAAAATGGGCTAATAGCCTGGAACGTCCAATTTTTTCTTTTTACACCCTCCCCTTTTCCAGCTGATTTTCTTAACCCCAAGATATTTTCCGTGATGAACTGCAGCCTTCCTGTTTGCCAATATTGTTCGACACGGTCTGTATCTCATTTACAATTACATTTTCATTCCGAATAGTATCAGAAAAATTGAAACTACCAGGCATGGAAATGTTATCTGCTCTCAGGTTTAATTTGCTAAAGCTGTTAAAAACATGCATGAGCCTTTTTAAGTTCCACGTGAGTTAACAGACAACCGTGACTTGACGTCAAAAGTAAAACAAAATTGAGCGCTGACGTCAATGGCGGCGAGATTCCTCACACTTGTTGCGCGATATGAAAAATATGCTGTCTCTGAAAAATCAGGAGAGAAATCTTCCAAGAGAGGTGCTAGACACAAAGCCAATAAACCATCCAAAAAAAAAAAAACTTTCAAGAGAGCTTCTAAACCCTCCTCAATATGTTTTTTCACGACGTCAATTCTTTAGCGTCTACATAGAGATACTCTCCACAGAAACAAACTGAATGGCAACTGCTGTTTTTTTTTTTGTGTGTTTTTTTTTCCTTTCTTTTTTTTTTGAGGTTGTGTCTTGCCCATAGACGCTGTTAGTGCAACGTCACAGAAAAGCTATATATGCCGATTTTTTCGCAGTGGTAGCATTGAAAGAGGTTATGCCAATGTTATTGTTTAGATCCAATTCGACATAATGGAGAATCCCTATGATGACGTCGCCACTAATAGCGTCTATAGTGGTATCGGAAAGTGAGATCGCTCCTCCGTTCAATCCGTTGGATATCTGTCCCATGAGAAAGAGAGAAGAGTAAAAAGAAAGAGAGAAAAGAGTGAGATAACCACCTTTTTTAGAGTGACAGTTTTTTTTTTTTTATCATTATGAAACCGAGACATATCTCTCGTGCGAGGTTGCAAGACTAGCAGACCCCGCCGGGTATGCATGGGGTTATGTTGCGTTAGAATCCTGGTTGATCGACGATTATCAGGGCCTATCAGCTAAGAGCTACTCTGCTGTGCTAAGGAAAAACGCCGTATGAACATTCGAGAGTTGCCAAATTTCCCTTGATAAGACATGTATTTATGACGATATTTATATGCCCATTTTTCTCCTAAATTTTCAGATATTTTAGATTAAATTGCGTACAAAATAGTCTGAAAATTTTGGGGGAAAATATTCACAATTTTCCCAGTAAATTCGGTCTTTATCAAAAGAAACTTGGCAACGGCTGAAGGCTCATACGGTGTTCTTCCTTAGCATGGCTGTACTCCATCGTAGTCGAGGACACGCTGGCATGGCACCGCGCCCTAAAGCATTACTGCGACGACTTTTGCTGAAGGGACGAAAGGGGAAAACGACCCGCTGCTCACTATCGTATGGAAAACGAAAGAGTTTTCGGTAATTATGGAGGGAAAAATAAGGGACAGAAAACTGGAGGAAACACGGTGGAGAGACCATGGTTCGTATGTCGTTGCTAGCTAGTCCTTGGATTTTTCCAACCCGCCGGGAAATTATTTTTTTAATGTTTTATTCAAGTCTTTATATCTCTCGTTAAAAAGGGGGGGGGGGAAAGAGTATGAATAGGAACCCTCCAATGAGCGAAAACGGATCCGAAATGCATAGCCCTTGAAGTAAAGGGGCAGGTGGAGATGAAAAAGTGGCAAAGCAAACGGACATGAAAATCAGTGTTTTCATCAGCTCGCTTTTTCGCTTTTACGAGTACGTCTATGATATGAAGAGAATGAACTTTGATGATATTTTTCCGAATGGTCAAATGAGAAAAAAAAGAAAGGGATTTAAAAGAAAAAAAATACTCACGCGCATTCTGGCCTTAGTTTTCCATTTAGAATGACCAGAACGCTCGTGAGTAATTTTTTCTCGTATGTACTTTACTATGGCGACTTCAATCAACGTTAAAAAAATAAGTACATAAATAAAGGAACAAGCAATTTAAACCCAAAATAATAGAAGCTCGCCAAATTCGAGGTTTAAATCAGATGAGTGTGTATCGATTTCGAGAGTGAACAGGGATAGAATAGATATTTCGATTGAAAAATCGGAGAGTTTCGAAGGCGCTGAGATGGCATTTTCGGCCACATCCATCAAATTGGATTTTAAATTTTTGAAAATTTGAATTTAAATCCAAGTTCCCCGTCGAAGAAGTCCACCTGGTACCAAGTTTCAAAACTATCGATGGAACAGGAGCCTTAGATCGTACGATCAGTATGACTCTTTGCAGCAGTGAACGATACCTATAAATTTACCAACGCAAGGGCGCCTTCATTTTCATCCGATACTGTGCAATACTTCCGAGGTGGAATAGTTGCTCAGAGTGCCTTCACAGCGCCGCTTCGACTTACTAGCAGAAGATCGAGATTACCGCTGAAATTACACCCTAGCGCTTGCGCAGATACACATTTCCTCATCACCGACGGTGATGTAAAAGATGTTCGTACCGCAATTTGCGACGTTGCGAGTTTTCCACTCCTTACTTTATATGGTTAAACGAATGTGAACACTTCAAAATTTGTCGTGATTTTTCCCAGATATAAGATGAGAAATATTACTTTACTGTTTCATTCGAGTCTATTTGTATGCCCTCGTTATTTGTACATGTTTAGCCGATGAGGCAAGACCAACTTCAGCTTCTCATTTGTACGTTATCATATTGCTAAACAAAAGTACATACTCTAAATAGCGTGTGGGGCAAAGGTATTTCGGTAATGGATGAAACGTTACCGGACACCTAAGAGGTGCCCTTTCTACACCCAGCGCTCTTTTCATTAACAATGGTTAAGAGACTGGGTGACGTCATGTAATGTATGGAGAGGGATAACGTCATGTCGAAACTGGATTTTCTGCACATAAAAGTTGAAGGAAAGATTTAATCATTCTCCTCCACTCATTCAAATTTTCCCGCCAAATTTCAGCTTCCCTCCGGTGAGGTTTAAAATTTAAAAACAATAAATCTCCCGCCGATTGTGGATTTAGCAACCTGTTAGAGCTTGCTGTAGCCGAACAGCACATACGACAAAGTATTTTCCTTCATTATTAGTATTACAGATCAATAATTTGATGTACGGAACCCTTTGACGACGTATCAATTTCACATGCTTGTTTTACCATACATTATTTAGTCTTTTAACTTTCTTTTCTTTTTATATAGTATGCTGCCAATTATGCGAGAGAGCACCTCATAAAAAATATAGTAGCCAGTTACAAAAAACAGATAGACTTGAGGAAAAATTTCTCATCATCTCAAGCCTCAAAACGTAAGTTACATTTTGAAATATTTTAAAGGAAAAGGTATTTGATGGGAAAACTTTTATGGAGATATCAATGAGCCAGGATATTAGATCATAATCAAGAAATATTTCACGACGTTTATTAATATTTATTAGGATATCACGTAAAAAACTCCCGAGTCTTGAGTGATGTTAATCTTTAGGGAGGACGTTGATTCGACCAACACGGATCATTCGAAAAATGAAAACGTCTTTCGATCTACATCAACTCGATCGACATTATTCAATCGATGGTTGGTTTTCAAGGTGATTCGATGGACGCCACATTTTGTGTCAGAACGGCATGCGATATATCGCATAAATTGATTCCATTTTTTCAGCTACTCTTCATTTTCCTCCACTTTTGAGATCGCAATTCTGTTGTCAGGAGACTAAATCACTGCTCACTTACCAATTTTAATAAAGTAATTCAACGTAATAAAGGCGTGGTTTTTTTAGAGAGAAAATATCCCATTCGAGGGCAGTTTCAATATCAGTTTCGAATGCGATTCAGAGAGGTCATTGACCCTAGCACCCCCACTTTGTCCGATTGACCTGAAAATGGTCTCAAACGACGCAGAATCATTTGCTCACCTTTGCTCAGCCCTTAGTTTTTTTTGTTCACCCCTCCATCCCCCCCAAAATGAAAGGCGGCATTTTGGGGGAGATCAAAGCCAGCACCCCCACTTGGTCCGATCGAGCTGAAATTGGTGTCAAACGAAGCAGGATCATTTGCTCACCTTTGCTCAGGCCTTAGTTTTCGTTCCTGACCTCCCCCTTCCCCCCCAAAATGAAAGGCGGCATTTTGGGAGACATCAAAGGCAGCACCCCCACTTTGTCCGATTGAGCTGAAATTGGTGTCAAACGACGCAGAATCATTTGCTCACCTTTGCTCAGCCCTTAGTTTTCGTTCCTGACCTCCCCCTTCCCCCCCAAAATGAAAGGCGGCATTTTGGGGGACATCAAAGGCAGCACCCCCACTTTGTCCGATTGAGCTGAAATTGGTATCAAACGACGCAGGATCATTTGCTCACCTTTGCTCAGGCCTTATTTTTCGTTACCCGAATCCTACCTCCTCCCGAAAACTAACGGCGGTTAAACATAGTCGGGGCGCTGCCTTTGATGTGCGCCAAAATGCCGCCATTCGATTCGGAGGGGAAATGGGGGGTGAGCAACGAAAACTAAGGCCTGAGCAAAGGTGAGCAAATGATTCTGCGTCGTTTGACACCAATTTCAGCTCAATCGGACAAAGTGGGGGTGCTGCCTTTGATGTCCCCCAAAATGCCGCCTTTCATTTTGGGGGGGAAGGGGGAGGTCAGGAACGAAAACTAAGGCCTGAGCAAAGGTGAGCAAATGATCCTGCGTCGTTTGACACCAATTTCAGCTCGATCGGACCAAGTGGGGGTGCTGGCTTTGATCTCCCCCAAAATGCCGCCTTTCATTTTGGGGGGGATGGAGGGGTGAACAAAAAAAACTAAGGGCTGAGCAAAGGTGAGCAAATGATTCTGCGTCGTTTGAGACCATTTTCAGGTCAATCGGACAAAGTGGGGGTGCTAGGGTCAATGACCTCTCTGAAAGTTCAAGTTCGATTTGTGGGGAGTACAAGCCTGAGCAAAAAAAATGAAAGCGATTTTTGAGGTGAGCAAATGATGAGCAATGATGAGCAAAAGAGAAAATTGCAAATTTTAAAAGTCGGGGTGCTAACTTCACAGACATTTTTCTCTCTGAAAAAACCACGCCTTTATTACTTTGAATTTCTTTGTTAAAATTGGTAAGTGAGTGCTTTAGACTCCTGACAACAGAAGTGCGATCTCAAAATTGGAGAAAAATGACGAGTAGCTGAAAAAATGGAACTAATTGATGCAATATAAAGAAACCCGTTCTGACACAAAATATGGCGCCCATCGAATCACCTTAAACAGCCGAGAGACGATCGACAGTTAGTTTTTTAACACCCGTGAGCCGATTGACAGTTGATGTTTGAACACTTCGTGAGTCAATCGACATGATTCAGTCGAAAAATCAAAAATTTGATTCGATCGGCACTAAAATCGACAAGATTTTGTCTGCAATATCCGAAGTCCCCAATATTTTTATCCCATAGTCAATCGATAGATAAAAGCGAGATTCAATAACTCGTAAGTCACAACAAACACATCAAACACTAAAAACACAACAAACACATCGAACACATCAAACACAACAAATCTATAAGGCAAATCGATATATCGCATGTATGGAGATATACATCGCAAACAAAGGTGCCTAGCAACGCATGCATAGCAGCCGTGGGCCCGTTCCTCTCCCCAATTTTACCATTTTTTGACCATAAAATCCCGAAATCATGACGGGGAGAAAATTGAAATAGCCAGTGTCACTCACCGAACCGGGGAGGACCGGTACACACATTTTAGGGAAGATCGGAGAGACAGTTTGACCCCTATTTCGTGAAAACCGTGAAAACCGACATTTACTTTATACGTAAGAAGATAACCAAGAATCGAATTCGCATATCAGCAATACGTAAATACCCAAGGGCGGTCCAAGGAGGATGTCTGTGGGTTTCGGAGAGCCCGCAAGTTGAAATGGGATCGCTTTAATCAAAGTGCGAGAGAATCAATCTTTTTCGATGCAACCCCTCTCCTCTCCCTTATGACAAAAAAGGAAATAACCAAAAATAAGTGAAATGCTCTAAACTATCATGAAGCCTAAAGAACTCTGCGTGCATTTTGACACTGACTTTTTCTCTCTGTCTTGTACAGGATACAAGCATCAGGGATCTCAGAGAACCTCAAGAACTCTCAAATCTACCAAATCTTTCGGATTTCAGACGAATGAAGGAATTGACTATAAAAAACTTCTAAATGATGTTTTTCTGTCAACAGACAAAGCTCTATGCGAGGAATTAATAGCTCTAGGGACGGATTCAGGTACTGTGGAAATTGGACTCAGTTTGGCTAATTTGATAGAACCCTCATACCTACATCGATCTCAACAAAAATGACCTCCTATCATTAGCCAGGAATCATCTATCCTATAAACTCTTTGATCCCCTAAATTTTCATTTATGGTAACAGTTCGTTCTACTGCTCTACTGATTTCCATGATTTTTGCTGCTGCCGACAGGAGATAGTCATTAAATGAGTCCGATCTATTCAGATTTTGGAAATATGACTCAGGTTTTTGTATATTACGTGATAAAGTTACGTGAATTCTCCCATTTAAACAATGTAAATTTTTATTTTTTGTCACAGTTTACTCTAGCGTTCTATTGGACCGATTTCCACGATTTTTGCGGCTGTCGATAGGAGATGGGTTCGATAGGTTAGATAGAAAAATAATACCAATTATTATAAAAATAATAGTTGTTACTAGGATTGCAATTCATAATAAGCCTAAGACTAGAATAAAAAATATGAAATCTAATCCGATAATTTTATATATATGTATACATATGGTTTATTTAAAAGAACATACCAATAAAATTAATACAACTGACCAAGACAGACATGAAACATAAATTAAGTATGGAATGCGACATAACATTTTTATTGAAATGAGCTCAGCGCCGTTTCAGAAAATCAATAATGACATCTCATGCCACTGGTGAGTATCCATATCCAAAAACATGTACATTGGTTTGCGACATTGCTAATTTTCCGGCATTTCTAGTTTTGTGGTCTTAATTTTTCTTTATTTATTTGTGAAAAAAAACTACTCAGCACCTTCCTTTCAATATATCTTTTATTTAATTTTATTTTAAAAGAGACAACTTATTGAAAAGTTCCTGTATGTATATTAGTTTACTTCTCGTTGAAAAAGGAATCAAATGCGTGACTTTTCAGACATTCACCGCACTGGCGGAGTCAGCAAATTGGCAACATTTTCTCTTATCCGTTGAAACATATGGAAATGTATCAATTCTTGGAGGGCCCAGGTGCTCCGACAAGAATCGATTATTTAGCATAGATTGAAATGGAGGCAATCCGATTTTGCCAAATTGCTGGATCCGCCTCTGAACCGCAATCGAGGTATACCTTCTTATCGGTCAATTTAATCGGTAATACTTATTATACATTCGAGAAAGACTCGGAGACTTTGAGTAGAGAGAGATTTCTAAGTAATTATCACCACAATTCTCTCCAAAACGTACTAATCCAAAGATGATGCAACTATCTCCTTTTAATAGGCACCACTGCAATAGTTGCAATGATACAAGGGACTCGCTTAATAGTAGCGAACGTGGGTGATTCACGAGGAGTAATGTGCGATTCTGATGGATTTGTTGTACCCCTATCGTTTGATCATAAACCAGAATCGGTAAGTTGCCCTAAAAATTCAACATAATGTTACTGTTATACATTGTTACAAATTTTACAATTTTACAAATGGTGACTACTCCCATTTTATTGAAAAATTGGATTCAATTGCATGGCCATAAAAGGAGACCTCGATCTTAATGTGCTCCATGGTCATTTGATCCTTTTTTGCGCGGCTTTGTAGTCTTTAATTTGGAAGTAATTTTCACTAATGTATATTAAATGAGTTTTAAAAATGTGAGTAAAGTCAATGCCGTTATTTGACAATTTTGCAACTTTTTTTTCCACGTAAGAATATAAGGCAATATTTGAAAAAATGAACTAGAAACAATAAGAGGAAGTATATAATAAGTATGAAAAAATTGAATGTTATAATTTTTGTCCTGTTTTCTGTGAAACTTTCAAGTATTCAAACTTTCAGACTTCCTCACGATTACGAAACAGAATTGGTTGCACATCTTGGCAACACCCAGTCAACTTCGGCCAATAAGTCGAAGGAGTGTTTTGCTATGTAAGAGTCCTATTAAATATGAAATTGACCCCCATAAATCGTGTATTTCGTGAATGGCTACTGCAAAATTCACTCTGAGAACGAAAAAAAGAAAAAGAAACAAACGCACACTGAAAATTGAAGAAAACAATCCTCTCAATACAGATATTATCGTGTAGATATTTTTTTAAAAGAACCGTCAAATTCTAAAATTAAAAATACGTCGAAAAAACTGAGGCTTCAAAACTTTATTTGAAAAAATTACAACCATGAATATTCAGTTATTACTTTGGCAAGAGGACATCACCGGGAAAGTAATGTTTCTGCACTAGTATCGTCATGAGCCAATAAAAAAGAAGAACAAGAAACTGAGCATTTACATCGTGTCTAGCTCGAAAACTGAGCAGACATCCATTTGTATATAATTGCATTTACATCTGAACTTAAACTAACTAACTACCTCAAACATACGGATACAATAAATGGATGAATACAACTTTTTAAGTTGGAGTTCTCAATTGAATTCTTATCTTGTCTCCTGGCCTTCATTCATTTTATGTGGATGATTCATCCCCGTGTACTAAACCCTTATACCTAAGACTATTTTGTCGTAAATAGACGGCGCACCGTGGATCGAGTCAATGGGGGAGGTCGGACAAAATTTGGGAACTTTAAACGCTTATAACGCCGTGCATACAGAACTTTGGGGTTCTAAAGGTGGTTTCATTGGTTTCCTCGTAAAATTTTCCTTTAGGCGCACCCCTTAAAATTTAAAATGTGACGAAATGAACGTAAAAATTTGCGGTTTTGGACAAAAATTTCATGTCCGACCTCGCTGATTGACTCGATCCACCGTGCGGCGTGGGCGTGTGTATGCGCAATGTAGCAGTTATAGTGGCCTGTTTTTTGTCCCCGTCCTCTCCCCCTCTCTCCCTAGATCAGGAGGCCAGGCCCAGGGCCGTAAATCAATGGAGACTTTCTGGAAACTACTCGAGAAACTCACAAGACCAAATTCTACCACGGAACCCTTTATTTCAAATGATTTCCTTTTTTTCACGTATGCTGAAAACAAACTCCGACCATGGAAGCTGTGCTTAAAGGCTGTTTGGACAAACCGTCCGTTCTGGGCTGACAGACCGGAAGTTCGCCGGGTGCTTGAGTCATATAGCTTCGACTGCTCCGGTTTCAAAGACCGGATAAATGGGTGCTGCACCCAGAACTTTAGGCCTCTGACAATGAGCCCGGAGCGAACAATATGTCTAGCCCGAAAGTCGGCTTCCAATGCCGGAGTTTTTTCAGTGTATACATTTATACATACTCGTATGAGGAGATGGTGATGTGGCATCTGTCGTCCATTACTACTATCTAGAGTATTTATCTCATTTTTCGTAACAACATGTCATATCTCTGTGTGAGAGTGTTTAACAATGGACTATTTCCTGGAGACGTGATTTTCTTGGTTACTTAGCTGTTTAATCATGATATGATCATTATTGTTATGGTTCGAGAAAAACGAAGTTAGTTTATTTCATTCCATTATTTTTTCCCAGGAGGATGAGAAGAGAAGAATAGAGGAAGCTGGTGGCAAAGTATCTATGAGTCATCATGCTTACAGAGTTGACAACTATCTAGCAACATCGAGAGCGCTGGGAAACTGTCGCTGGAAACCTCAGAATCGTATAATTGCAACCCCTGATGTACTCATCTTCGATTTGTCCGAATTTAGGCCGCAGTTCATAATCTTAGCGACAGATGGTCTGTGGAATATTTTCACGAGCGAAGCAGCAGTAAATGTGATTCAAAAACACTTTCAACAACCATTTTTCGGAGCTCAGGATTTAACGCGACTGTCTATTGTCTGGGGGAGTAGAGATAATACTTCAATTATGGTGATTAATTTAAAGAATCATGCCTGGCCAGAAAAAAAACCGATGGAAAAAAAAAAGTCATCTCGAAGTCTCAGTTCTGCATTTTCTTCTAAGAGAAGAAATAAATCACTAGCATCCAAGTCATCATCCATTCGATCTCCATGAGGCTTGAGGGGAATAAAAGGAAATATTGAATTGGAGGAAAAAGTAATCCATGCACTGAAAAAACGAGATTAGGGCTGGGCCCTAGAATTGCTTCACCTCCACCGCCACAGGGGCAGGCCCTGCGGGGGTAAGGCCCACCCTGGTAAAAATGGCAAGTGCTCAGATCAGTAGCACTTGCCTTTGGAACAGACCTAAGCACTGATGTCAGTGCTGCCGGGCGCTGATTTGCTACCTCAGTGTTAGGTCTGTTCCGAAGGCAAGTGCCTCTGATGTAAGTGGCACTGACCTAAGTGTCTCAGACGTAAGCGGAGTGGAAACTCCCAGAAATACTGTACAGGCAAAAATTTCGTTAATTACCGATCTGCCAGGTACGTTAAGTCACTATTTGACGATCAGGGAGGGCTGCTGTGAGTTTTCAATCCCAAGCAAGTATCACAATCTTCAGGGGACATCGCTCGTTCCCATGCGGTCTCCAATCTCAGTACTAACTACGCCCGACGTAACTTAACTTCGGTGATCGTCCTAGCGATTGAACCACTACACTACCTGCGCGTGTACGTGTTAGGGGCGTAATTTTACCATTTCAGGGCCCCCATTAGGGTAATTTTGCCAGCAAATGATGATTTTGTCTTTGAATGTGAATCCGATACTTAATTTTTCTATTATTCTTTTTTAATCAATCAACATGTAAATGAAGTTTTGTAAGTTACGTTTCTTTGAGAAAAAAAATGGATCGCACTAAAATTCAAAATTAAAGCCAATGATGCAAAAAAAATAATGAAAGTCGAAATTATACAAAAAATATAAATTAGCAGATACAAAAATTGAAAGTAAAGGAGTAAAAAAGTTA